AGATTCTCTGAAATATAAATAATACTTCTCTCTCTCACATATATATGAGATATATATATATATATATATATATATATATATATATATATATATATATTGCCTTAAGAGAAGGGTAGAAGGGACTCAAAAAAAAGGTCACTCTAGAAATAAAAGAGTTTCAAAACACTCAAAACATGAAAATTTGCCTTCTATTTTGTTTATATCTAGAGTTTAGCTGCCTTCTGCACATACAGACTCTCTCAATGTCTTTGCTTATCATTGGCTTCCTGAACACATAAGCTTGTATTTAGCATGGAAATTCTTATTTTATTTAATTTGTACATTTATGTATGCAAGTGTATGTGCCTGTATGTGTGCTTATGTGCACCACATGTTTTGTTTTGTTTTTTTTTTTTTTTTAGATCTGAAGAGCTAACTGTCCCCCATGCTTGTGGCAAAACTGCCAGCTCTCAGCTCTGTCCTCCAGCTCTGATTCCAGACCCACTCATATCCGGACACTAAGCTACTTCTTCCATATTCTTTTATGGGGAATGATATGCACAACTTGCATGTGTGTCCTGTAACAGGCAACCTGCAATTCATTTCTTTATTTCTGTCTACAAGTGAAAAAGTAGAACTTTGTGCCTCGGGCTCACAGATGAGACACACATGTGTAAGGCACCCATGAGTCTGAGTAACTAAGGGGTAAATTAGAGGGAACAAGACTTCACCTTTTTGTTTTGTTTTGTTTTTTAAGACAGGGTTTCTCTGTGTAGCTTTGGAGCTAGTCCTGGAACTCGCTCTGTAGACCAGGCTGGCCTCAAACTCACAGAGATCCGCCTGCCTCTGCCTCCCGAGTGCTGAGATTAAAGGTGTGCACCACCAACACCTGGCAAGACTTCAACTTTAATGCAGACACTTTTACTTTCAGTTAATTCATTCATTTTTTATGGTTATTGTTGCAGCAACTTAGCCTGTACTCTAACACAGCTACTATCCCAAATCTGAATCATTTCAAATATGTAACTGCACATAAACTCTAGCACCAAATCTCTAATTTGGGAGCATCTCTGATGCTGTTAGAATAATTAACCGGGAGGTCCTTGGCTGAGGTGATTCCAGAGTCCACAGTTTGTATGTAAGAATTCAGTGTGGTGAGGTACACGCCAGGAACTCGAAGTTTAGTTTTCAGTTACAAACTGCCGGCTCACTCCTGACAAGGGACATTATAATTACTGCCCCACTTTGCTGAATCAGATGTTTTCACTGTCTTATTTATGTCTTCAGGAGTTCCATGATTGCTTTCCCTTCATACTCCCCTGGTGGATCCCTAACAAGTTGCCGTCTGGAGCTGCCTACTTCAGGAGTTGCTATCTGTGCAAGAAAACTCTGTAAAACTTAATGTGCTTAAGTTTATCTTTTAATGACATCTTGTTATAATTTATTAGGATAAGAAGTGCCAGGTGGGAATAGTGATTGCAAATGGGCACAAGTGTTCTTTTATGGGACAACACAGATGGCCTAAAACTGGATTGTGTTGTCGATCACACAATTCTGTAGTTTAGCTACAAGGCATTAAGTTGTATGCTAAAAAGGACAAATTTTTGTTGTGTAAGATACACCTCCATAAAGGTATTTTTAAAGTCTTTTTAAAAAAGTTATTCACCTTAGACCATTGATGACTCTTTGTTTCAGCGAGCAGCTGAGACGAGGACTTATCACCTTGACTGATCTGAAACACAAAGTTTAACAGAAAATAAGCATAGAACATATAAGTCTTCTGTCCAAAATGAATAAAAGTAAAAATCCCTCAATGATTTTCTTTTTTAAAGTGTGTTTATGCATATATACATATAACCATTTATCTTTACCTGAAATACCATATATATAATTACTATGACCAGATGGACTTTTCCTGGTTTAGGTTTAAAAACACAGGGTGTGTGTGCTGGCTAGACTTCTGTTAACTTGACACCAGCTAATTATTTGAAAGGAGGGAAACTCAATTGAGAAAATGCCTCCATTAGATCCAACTGAAAGGCATTTTCTTAACTGGTGATTGATGGGGGAGGGCCCAGAAGACTGTGGGTGGTGCCATCCCTGGGCTAGTGGTCCTGGGCTCTATAAGAAAGCAGGTTGAGCAAGCCATGAGGAGCAAGCCTGTAAGCAGCATTTTTCCATGACTCTGCATCAGTTCCTGCTTCCTGGTTCCTGCCCTGCTTGGATTCCTGTCCTGACTTCCTTCAGTGATGAACACTGATGCAGATGTGTAAGCCAAATAAACCCCTTCCTCTCCAACTTACTTTTTGGTCAGGGCGTTTTGTCACAGCAATAAAAACCCTAACTCGGACAGGGTGTTAAGACATGGAAGGAAAAGGAAAGGGAAGAAAAGAGAGGAAAGAAGGAGAAACAAAGCAGGCTAGAGGTTGGAGCTTTTTTAGAATTGAGCTATATTGTCTTCCTTGACAATAAAAAGGTCTATTATGATCCATGTTCCACTTAAAACAGTCATTCTGTGAACAGGAAAAAGCAATTAAGAGCATTACCTTAGCATTTTTTAGTTTTTCTCTTACTTTGCCTCTCAGTGTCTCTGTGATATTTCGATTTTCTTCTGCATCTAAATCAAGACACCAGTGTTACACAGAGTTCACATGATTGTATCATAATTACTCAGCAGTGACAGCAAAAATCCTCATGTGTATCTTGCACCTATGTCTAAACACCAGGGAGAAAAGGCCAGTGTCCCATGAGCACTTAGAACTGCGTCTCCTCTCCGTTCTCTCAGGGAACAGTTTTAGCTATGGCAAATTGTGTTTCTCTTGTAACTTTTTCTGAGTCTCTTACTTCTTCCTCAGACATCAGCCAGGGTCTTTCCTGTATACAAGCAAAGCATAAAATGGCTCGGACAAAGAACCTTTGCTGTTGTTTTCTTGTTAGAAAAAAAAATAATCTCTTGAGAACATTTCTATTCCACATAGAATGTCCTGAGGCATGAACTAATGCTGAAGACTCGTTATGTTGCTGCTACTATTGCTGCTATTAAACTGGAAGAATGATTGAAAGGAAGTGTGTGTACTCTAAGCCATTTGCTACTTTCTGCCACTAACAGGATGCACGTATTGAGAAAGACGGTGGCTGTTCAGTTCTGAATACAATAAAAAAAAAAAAAGATGAATTGGTCATGTTCCCATGGAGTTTGCTTTTTCCCCTCCTGTTGGGTACTCGTAAGTTGTGAGATAGGAATAAGGAGAAGGAATAGAGCTAAGTCACAAGACATCTTCTGCATCCACACATCTTTAAGGTCTGACCCAGTCTCAGGCAGCGGTGAATCCTCTCCACATGTACAGTTAATGATGGAGAAAACGGAACATCATAAGTTCAATCTCTATGTATTTCCTCAGGCCCATCCTGTGTTACATAGGAAACCTAGCTTATGTTTACACTCTAGAATGCTGAGGCTCCAGGATGGGAGTAATCATTTACATTTCTAAAACTAAAACTCCAGGACATGAGAATTGTGGCACACTTAGGGAGAACCTTTAAAGAGATGCCTGTCCATTATTTCTTCTGTGCTGCTGTATGCTGCTTCTGACATCTGTGGGGGAAAGCAGGGAAGGTTAGATGGCATCTGGCAGTTATTGGACAGAGTTTCTTATGTAAATCAACCTTCCCAACATTGTCTCGTGTAAGGTTATCAATTCACATTCCTTGTCTACTCAAACTTGAATCTTTCTTAGGAACATGAATTTTTTTTTATTTTTTATATATTTGAATTACAAACAAGATTGAATTATTTGACAATCCCAGTTCCCTTCTCCCTCCCTTCCTCCCCTACCAGTCCCCCAACTAAAATCCTACCTATCACATGTCATTTCTCCTAATCTACACCTGACTCAACCTTTCTGCTTCCTCATGACCTCTGCATCCTTCCTTTTCTTCCCTTCTCATTCTTGTAGCTCCCTCCCCCCTCTTCCCATGCTCTCAATTAGTAACATGAATTCTTTATATATGATTGGTTTTAAAATTAAGTAACTGCTACCTGTAATATCAAAACAAAAACCTCTTAAAATGACAAAATCTGACTGAGACTTGTTCTTTGTGCTTATGTACTACTGGCTTTGTGTTTCTTCTAGGAGAGTCTGATAAAATTATACATGCATAAAAGTACATTAAAAACCCAACATTACAGCAGTGTCTCTGCTTGAGGATTTCTCCATAGTGTTTGACAATATGCACACACTCCTTCTGGAAATGACGTTGCCTTCTATTCTTAACCATTATCACCCCTGTATCTTCAGTGGCCACACTGTTCCCCATCACAGAAAGGTAAGCGTACTCAAGGCTTTTGGGGAGCACTCCATGGCCCCTCAAATACGTGTCTTTGGCTCTGACTCCCCTCCCTAACATCAAAAGCCGTTCTGGCTGCCTCCTGGTAGGAAGACCTGAATGCCATCGTTAAAAGTTCAGTATGTTAAGTTAACCATTTTCGGTTTCTCAAAGCTCTGTCTTATAAAGTAACTGTTCTTGCATTCTGGCGGTATGGAGTATGAGTTTATTTTAAACTTTAAATTTGAGATGTATTATTACATATCTTGAAATTTATTATATACTCTTGAAAAAACAGTTGCACCTACTGACCAAAACAGTGTGAAGCTGGAGTGGGAAGAGTTAAAAAGATACATATTAGCTTCACAGTTACATTCAAAACGTGGATTCGGGGGCTCCTGAGATAGCTCAGTGGGTGAAAGTGCCGGTCACCAATGCCAGCACCTAAGTTCTGTTCCTAGGAACCACACAGGAGGATGAAAGACTCAACACCCACAAATTGTCCTCCAGCCTCCACAGGCGCTCTATGCATGAAAACACACACACACACACACACACACACACACACACACACACACACACACACACACACCACACACACACACACACAAATAAATACATGTAATAAAAATTTTAAGGATGGACTTTTGTTGAAAATCAAAGTAGGTTACAACATGATCATGGTTTCAAAAAAAAGTTAATATAACAAGAATCTAGTCAATGGACTTTACAGAAGAATTTCAAAATCTGCCAGTGATCCCTGTATCATAGTTAGAAGTCCTGAATACTGTCACCATGAGCCGATATGCCCCCTTCTCACTAACCACCAACACAATCCTCAAAACAACTGAAGATACCCAGGACAGTGACCCTGAATTGACAGCAGAACACTGACCTTAGGAAGAGATTGGTAGAGGGAGACCTAGCTTTAATTTCCAACCTCTAGGCAGTGGTTTTCAACCTTCCAAACACTGTGACTCTTTAATACAGTTTAATACAGTGACCCCCAACCATAAAATTATGTTTGTTGCTATTTCATAACTATAACTTTGCTACTGTTATGAATTGTAATGTACATATTTGTGTTTTCTGGTGGTCTTAGGTGACCCCTGTGAATGGACCATTCGAACCCTCAAAGGGGTCAGAACTCATGGGTTGAGAACTGCTGCTCTAGGTTATGACTAAGGAAGATTTTACAGGTATAAAGGCTTTTAAATCAGAGAATTCCCAAATAAATAGCATGATGATTTACTTCAGGGACTTAGGGAAACAAGCCAAATGTAAAGATAGTTATCAGAGACAGACTAGATCAGAGCAGAAATTAATAAAATGAAAACATTAGTAACATTAATAAAAAGAACAACATCCAGAATCAATCACACAAGGAGTTGATTCTTTGGAAAAAATAAACACGGGTAATAAACCCTTAATGGTTAATCTTGGGCGTCAGCTTGAAGGAATCCAAGATTAAGTAAGAAACACACCTGTTGGGCAGGTCTTTGAAGGTGATTCCCAGAAGGATTAACTGAGGGGAAGACCCTTCTCACAAGTGAGTGGCACCTCCCAGCAGCAGCCCGAGTACAAAATAAGGTAGTCTAAACTCACGGCATTTGCTTCTCTAGGCTTCTCTCCTTGCTGGTGAGTATATCTGCCCTGCTGCTCTCATAGCTGCTACTACCCTTGGCTGACATCAGAACCCAGTCTCCTTCGTCTCCCAAGGTGGACTCAGGACCCAGCTATAGACCCACACAACTGGAGCTGCCCATTATTTGGAAAAGGTGTCAAAACATACACTGCAAAAATAGACAACATCTTCAACAAATGATGCCGGAAAAACTAAATTTGTGTATAGGATAATCCACATCTCTTCTCTTGTACAAAATCTACTCCAAGTGGATCACAGACCTTATTGTAACTTTTAAACTGCTAGACAAGCTGTTATGCCTTTCTAAGAAACATGGACACGTATTTCAAGATGTAAGCATAAGCAAAGACTCTGAAAAGGATTCCATCAGAAAAAAAAATGATCACAAGAGTTGACAAGTGGGATTATGTGAAATGAAAAAGCTGCTATACTGTGCTGGGGCTCGGCCTGTATCAGTCCTACACTACACAGGCCATCTACTCTGGACTGATGTCTTTGGTGCTGCCATCCGAACAGCCCCGGGCTCATCCCTGAGTGGGACAGTGTGGACCTGGGGAAACTCCTAGCTACCCCGAGGTGTTAAGGACAGGACCCAGACACATCTTGTCATCTCAGGAGGCTCTTAGTCCATGCTGGCTACTAGAGTCCACAGTTTATTCAAGCATCCTCTTAAATAGCTTTCCAGCAGTGGGGGTGATACCAGAAGACATCTATTATCATGTATAAAGCTGATATCAAATATTTCCTTTAATCTTAGAGGCACCTCTAAAACTGCACATCCCCACCAGCCTCTCACCAGTCCCTACGCACGTATACAAGCCCTCAGAACAGGTGTGGGCCCATCTAGGGCCTAAGTCTGTAGTTATGAAAACTAGTAGTCATTCTCCACTGAGGCCAAGCCATCCAGTGGCAACCAGCTGGGCATCTAAAAGCCAATGTGAGAGTCGAGCTCCTGGGATAGAGTTTGAGGCCTTCGTCCTAAATACCATAATTGATATTTTTGGGGCCCCGACAATACTGCAAAGAAAACAACTGGCAGGGGGAAAGAGATGGTGTAGAGGCTGTAAAGAACTGCAAAAAATAAGCATCAGTTCCCAATCATCTAGCTGAAAGAGGCTTAGTACATGTGGAGGTTTGAAAGAAAACAGCCCCCAAAGGGAGTGGCACTATTAGGAGGTGTGGCCTTGTTGGAGGAAGTGTGTTCCTGTGGGGGAAGACTTTGAGGTCTCTTTTGCTCAAGCTTCCCTCAGTGACAACTTCCTGTTACTATGGCTGAAGATGTAGGACTCTCAGCTTCAGCACCATGTCTGCTGCACACTGCCATGCTCCCCGTCCTGATGATAATGGACTGAACCTCTCAAACTGTAAGCTGCCACCCTAATTAAATGTTTTCTTCATAAGAGTTGCTGTGGTCATGGTGTCTCTCACAGCAATAGAAACCCTAACTTAGCGCACTAAATAGCTCTCAAGAAGCAATGTGAGTCGCCAATCAATATTTGGAAAAGTGCTCAAACTCTCAGCCACCAGGAAAATGTAAATTAAAAATGGTGTCGGATTCTATCTCATTCCTGTCAGAATAGTCATCATGAAGAGAACAAACAACAAATTCAGGCTGTGGGTATATGAAGAAAGAGGAACCCGAATGCACTGAGACAGCCACTAGGAAATTAGTATGCAGTCTCTAAAAAAAAAAAAAAAAAAAAAAAAAAAAAAAAAAAAAAAACCTGAAGATGCAACAATAATGTGACTCAGCTATACTATTTCTGGACATAGACCAAACTCAAGTCAATATATCAAAGGCATTTGCAACCAGGCATGGTGTGGTGGCGCATGCCTATAATCCCAGCACTCATGAGGCAGAGGCAGGCAGATCTCTGTAAATTTGAAGCCAGTCTGGTCTACAAATTGAGTTCCAAAACACCAGGATGACAAAGAAAGACCCTGTTTCCAAAAAACAAAGCAAAAACTAAAGACATTTGCACATTCATATTTATTGTTGTACTATTCATGATAGTTCAGAAATGGCCTCCAGTAGATGAACTCATAAGATGAATTCCCATTGCATGGGAGGAAGCAGGGGATGCTTTTAATGACCTCTATATGCCCTTTTCTTGTCTACAAACTGTTTAAGGCTCAAAATGTATAACAAGAGACCACAAACCCAACTGAATGCAAATGAACACTGTTTTCAGGAAATCATACCTCTTGGTAAAATGCTACAAAAACTTATTTTTTAAAAAGCCCTCAAAAATCCCATTAATACTTTACCTTTTTAAAGATCTCTTCTCTTCTCTTTGAGATCTTTTTCATGATGACTCTTTTATTTTCACTTTCTAAATATAAGAATGAGAAACCATGTGATTATATCAAAAAGCATGGCAGGGGCTGGAGAGATGGCTCAGCGGTTAAGAGCACTGGCTGTTCTTCCACAGGACCCGGGTTTGGTTTCCCAGCACCCTATAGCAGCTCATAACTGCCTATAACTGCAGTTCCAGGGCATCTAGTTGCCCCTTCTGGCCTCCCAGCAGTGCACACATGTGGTTCACAAGACATACATGCAAACAACATACACATTGAAAAACAAGAGGTGTGGCATTTGAAAGTTCAAAAAGATACAGAAAGCAAGATGAATAATACTGTCATTTTGCTCTACCTGAGACTTCAGCCACTAGGTTGACATAAAAATACAAAACAAATGATTATTGCCTTCAATATGCAATACTTAATATCTTCTCATCTTTTAGTCTTTAATAGAAATTTCAGGAAATGTCTGATGTGTAGCAATTTCCTCCGAGATAAAACCTTACATCTTAGAGGGAAGCTCCTTAAAGTACAGAATGTTTTAAAGGAAAGTGAAATATTCCATCTTGCAAGGAGACTCATTGAAAATCTGGAAGTAGGCAACTGGAAAGCTTCAGGAAGTCCTTGAAACTGACCAGAAAGCACTAGCCCCGCCCCCTTCCAAGCTTACATAAGTATAAGTACTGCAAAGAGGTGTTCTTCAACTTGTCTAACAAGTTGTACAGTAAACTCCAGGTTTTCAGCTCTCATGGGATGTCACCCAGTCTGGGGTGGGCTTTTGGTGATGCCTCTGTATTTGAGTCATTTCTGATCCTGCAAGTAACCCTAACAAACTCATTGGCTCACTAGTTAAATGTTGCTGGTATCCTTACTTTTGTCTGTCATCCTATCCCAAATGAATTCACATCTCACCAGGAAGAGTGTCACACAACAATACCACTCTTGGGTTATGCCCGAAGGAATATAAGCTGGTATATTAACAGAGATACCGGCACATTTATATTTATTGTAGCACTATTCACAATATCCAACATATGGAATCTAGATGTTCATCAGCAAATGGATGAATAAGTAATGTGACATAGCAGACAAAATGTGAAACCATTTTTTTTTTGTAAATCTGAAGATGTTCTTAGAATGTTTATATTCCATAAAGGATATAAGATAAATAAACAAACAGTTATCAGCAAGACACTAGAAAATTTACAGAGCTAGACAAAAACCGCATTTGCTGTATCAAAATCTTCCTCCAACAGCGATTGACATTCTCTCTTAAAAACCTGGCTGCGGGTGAAGGCCGACCCTCGCTTTCAAATACTGTCATTAATTTTTGCAGTTAAAGCTTTTTCTAAAGGTTGAAGAAACTGAGGGTTAACAATTTGTCTGTCAGTCACCCTACCAATCCATAGTCAAAGCACAAGATTTTGAGCTAGTTGCTGGGCAGTGGTGGCCCACACCTTTAATCCCAGCACTGGGAGGCAGAGGCAGGCTTATCTCTGTGAGTTCGAGGCCAGCGTGGTTTACAAGAGCTAGTTCCAGGACAGCCTCCAAAGCCACAGAGAAACCATGTCTCGAAAAAACAAAAGAACAAAAAACAAAAACATATGACTTATAGAGGAGCCTTTGTCTCCAGGCAACAACAAAAAAGAATTCAAACCAGCAGTTCTTGTAGCTGGCTATGATCCACAGCAAGCAGGTGGCCATTTTATTAGTAAAAGATTTTGCCCCTGGCTCGCCATTTAGATACTCTTGGATGCTGGGAGGGGAGAGAAGGCTCAGTGGTTAAGAGTGCTTCAGCAATACATTTCTCCCTGGGCTCTTACTAGACCTCTTTTTAAATGTATTAATGTCCCCTCTTTCCCTCTTAGAACATACAAGTCCAGTGTGGCTTTCTCCTTACCTCAGTGAATCTACTGTCGTACGACACGAAGGTTTTTAAAAGTTGTGTTTCTTAAGTCACATTCTTCCAGATTTCTTTGAGTTAGGATGCTGTGCCAAAAATATTCCAGTGAAAATTTAAAAAGGGGGCAGCATTCTGTCCAAATAAAAATCCACTAAACATCTCGCACTAGCTACCTTTTAGTAGTAGGGAACAGAAAAAGCAGGGTTTAACAAAAGCATCCCACCAAACGTATTCTATAAAAAGCATTGTGCCCCTTGGGTATTCTACTATCTGACATGTTCAAAAATTCTCATCTTTTCATTAACTGTGATTTGCTTTCCTGAATCAATAGGTGGGAATCATGACCCAGGCTCAGCCTGGTTACGCATGCCTAAAATCCTAGCATAGGAGAGGCTGAGGCAGGGGGATTAAAGGAACACGTGGCCTGAAGAGAAACCTTCTGAACTGTAAATTGGTGTCTTTAGACACATCACAACGGTCTCTCTGTGCACTCAACCCCAAATGGAGAATCACAGCCTGCTCCCCTGTGACAAAGAGTTCACTTCCATCCTGTCTCCCCTCTCTCTGCTTCAGGGTTTGAGGGAAAGTGTGGTGGACTGAGACAAATATGGAAGCAGGTGGCATAAACTTATCATGTAGCTAGAAGGTTTGTATCTGCTATAAGCAAGGCAATGTAATAATGCTACCTAGAAACTGAATTTACAGTGTAAGCAGGGTCACCAGGTCCAGCACGCTGGTGGGAGCCCTGTGCTGCTTATATTCTAGCCTGAAGAGCCATCGCTGGGTCTGTATTTAGGCTCAGCTGGAAAAAGCCGATCCAGAGGTTTCCCACCTTCCCAATGAGAAAGCCCTGGGGCCTGCCTCACTTGCCACACAAATGCTGAGGCAAGACTAATCTTTATTCTCCCCTGCCACCCCTTTCCTTTGAGTTTTGCAGTCTTTCTCAATGGACTGCATGCTATGTTTGAAGCCTAATTCTCATTCTACAGTTTTCTGGGGACTTTTCCCTGGCTACACGTCTTTTTGCTGGTCCTTACAATTTCTACCTTGGAAGCTCATGTTTCTGCTGACTCTAAGGTGTTATCCTAATGCTTACCCCAGCAAAGAGTTCAGCTCCAGCCGATCACCCTCCTCAACTCAGTAAATAGTTCTCTGTCCCCAACTTAACCCAAATCGCGCACTGACCTCAAAGCTGTGAAATGCACAAACTTTCAGCCCTATTCGCAATGGGATGGTTGTCATGCGGCGCCGTTCTGTGTTGTCCCAGCCCCAGGATTCCTCACAGAGCAAGGGACCATCGTGGGGAACCTTAAGGGACAGCGGGACATTCACCTGAGGGACACTGCTCTTTGACGTGCCTGGGGAAGCCAAGGCAGATCCTGAGCAGCCACCAACGCCCACGGCCCAAGAGCATGCGCGATGCGGTTCCCGGGCTTAGGCAGTGTTCTGTCTCTAGCTGCTTTTCCGGTCTCCAGATACTGGGTCTCAACTCCGCCTCCGTGCACGCGATCTCCCGCGATCTCCCGGTGCACCTGGGCTGCTTCCCATCCCAGCGTCGTCAGCCTCTCGTGGCCCTCCTCAGAGTGCATCTACACTGTAAGTGGTCCACTCAGGCAAAACACGAATAAACAAATAAAGCGGTATACCTCCACCCACGAGCCTCTCTCTCCTTGTTAAAATGATGACCTAAATAAGCCTTATCAAGTTGGGAGTTTGATATTGGGGCTCAGCACAGTGGTGTGTGTCCCTTCATTCCAACATGACATTTTTATGAACTGCTTTCTGTGCCTACGCTATTGAGTGTTTAGCCTGTGATTCTGGAGACTTGTAGGAGGACTTTAAAACTAGACAGTTTTACACTTGAGGAGAGGGAGGTACAGAAATAAAGTCTCTGCTAAGAAGGTTAACGGGACAGGTAAGGTAGGGACCCGGGGGGCACAAGAAAATGAACTCACAAGTTCTACTTGCACAATATCTGGAAAACACAAAACAAAATAAAACAAACAAAAATCTATTCATTGTTAAATTTGCCTAAGCCTCAAAATTACTTGGCCAAATTCTCATTCCAAATACAATCCTTGTGGTTCTCTCATTTTTGTTGTCTAGAGCTCAGCTGGTATAGCAATTTAGAAGCAGCAACAGTAAATTCTTGTCTTTTTGAATATGAGCCGAGCCATGTCTACAGTCCAACAGTTGAGTTAAGCAAGTTTTCCTTAAATACTGATGTCCTGGACTAAAATGGAATATGTCCGCATGTTACAAGCATCACAGAATACATTGTACTTTGTGAACACTTAACTTCTAGGATTATCATCCAGTGTCATGTATTTTTAAAAAGTACACGTGCACATACATGTGTGTGTGTGTGTGTGTGTGTGTGTGTGTGTGTGTGTGTGCGCTATGATGTATTATTATTATTAGTGTTAAGTATATTGTCCAGATAACTGAGTTGAGGTTAGCATAGGTTTGAGATCTCCTACTAGAGAGTTTATAGTACAGAAGTTGAGGAGTCCTAAGTGTTTTCAAGGTTAAAGAGCATTTTCTATCAGAGGGGAGGAAATGTCAACATTCCAGTAGCTATTTCAAACTAGTAGTCTAATGTCACACACAGAACTGTTGATTCAGTCCACTGTGGCTGGTTTTAAACTGCTCCAGCTAAAGATCAGATTTCATATAAAATTTTGAATTTCATGACAAAGATTTAGGAAAACCTATCTGTACAAGCAGGTGGGTGGGTGGGCAATCATCCAAGCAGCAATAGTCAATGGTAGGCCATCTGCACTGTTTTCTGTGCTCAGAGAAGACCTTTCCAGTTCTCCACAGGCAGTGCTGCTCCTTAGTGACCTCCTTAGCTCTCCGGCACTGGATCTCAGCATCCATTGCCTCTTCACAATCTTCTGTATTTTAGCCACCTTTTACTTAGGGTGTCAACCTGCCTGGGCATTTGAGTCTAAAACACCATCTGTAAAGGTTAGGTGAAGGTTGAGTGTGGTGGCCCACTCCTGCCATCTCAGCACTAAGGAGGCCGAAGCAGGGAGATCTTGAGTTTCCCAGTCAGCTGGGTTAGCTACACAGAGTGACCTTTTCCTGCTCCCAATTAAAAGAG